TGGATTTGCTTACCGACCACAGTGATTTACTTAACAACCATGACAAAAAAGGTTGTGAAATTGGGCATGATTCACTTAACAACTGTATCAGTGATGGAAGTTCCGGTCCCAATTGTGGTCATAAGTTGAGGACTACCTGTAATTCTATGATTTATTACTTGAGCCAAACCAGCTCCCAGTCCTGCCTTAACCAAAATCAAATTCAGATACATTTCCCAAAATGCTGTTGATTTGGTCACTTTCCAGTTATTTCTGTATCTAACTTATTCAGCAACAATCAACAACAATAAAATAAAATTATTTTTAAATCTGAAGATTTTATGGGGAAACATGCAGAAGTAGGAAAATAAGTTTAATTTGTAACATATATTTATTACTATTATTTTGACAGGGAACTGAGCTGTGTGAACTAACACCAGCTGTGAATACTGCTCTGCCTGCTGTTTTTCTCAAGCTCATATTGGCTTTGGCTGAACACTGCACATATCCATAGTTCAGTTTTAGAAATCTTCTCTCATTGTCTTGATATGTTCCTTTGACCACAGTTTTTAAGGCCATGGCATAACAGTACAGTAAAACGAATGATCTGCATATATCTTCAGTTGGGATATTGGGATTCTATGTATGGAGCAGAACATCTGGACAAATTCCATAGCTAATGAAAATCAAGTGGTTTGGGCTGAGATATAGGCAATGTTTAATGAGATACATCATTGAGATTTCATAGGCTGATTGCAAGCTATTGACCAATTACCTTGTAAATGTTGATGCAAAGATATTGACAATGACTCTGGCATGTAGATGATGGGATAGCTTTGACTGTCTATTCTGTACAATCTGTTTTTAGAAAAGGTTGCCAAGCATCTGATAATATTAAATTACTAATTGACATTCTGGATATGCAGTCAGAAAAATTGAAATCCACAGTGGTGGTTTTTTGGATACAGAAGAGGCCTTTTCAATGGTGATGTCAGCCCTTTGAGGTAGGCCAGGTCAGGAATAGACTCTTCAAGAAAGACTCTGGAACTCTGTTGATACAGGATACAGTAATAGAATCTTGAAAGCCTGTCTATGTTTTCCCTTCCCTCCCTCTTCTACCCCTGGACTTAAGGTGGAATCAGTTTGAGTCTCTTTTTAATCTCTTCTTCATTTCCTGGGCTTAATACATGTTTCTGTAACTGTTGTCCTATAGTTTTCTTCCAAGGTCATTTTTGTGGCCCCCCGCAGGTAAAGTGGAAATTTCTGAAACATGTCTTGCCTTTATATTGGTTTCCTCTTTTTTAAAATTGGTTTGGCTAAGATATGGTATCTACTCCTTTTGCTGGGATTATTACAAGTGGAGCAATCTTTTCATCTATCAACATATCTTGTCCTTCTATGTTTTTTAATTTGATATTGATACCATTGGTCTGCTTTATTAAAATAAATGGAAAACATTTTGGGCATAACAGTGGGAGTAGATGAACACACGCTATTATTATATGTTGATGTCATTGATAATTATGTATTTTATCAAAGTTAACGTTATTATGCAACAGTAGTTTATCAGGTTATTCAATTAATCAAAGTCTTACTTACTGAAGATTCTAATGTTTCTGTGGACACTTGTAGTAGTTGAAGTTTTTAATTGTTGCTCGAATTCTTTGAAATATCTGGGAATATGTATTTCAAGAATATTTTCAAGTGGATGTAAATATATCACATTTTAAATTTTCAGATAAAAATTAATATAAATAGATGGTTAAAACCCCACTGAGTGGGGAAGATAAATGTTGAAAAAATGGATATATGCTAATGTCTTATTTTAAGAAGATGGATAAAATACTAAGATTTTTTTATGGGCAAGCCAACCCCCTAAATGGGGGTGGGGCTGCCTGAGGTGTTTTCACAAACCACTTTCTTGGCCTGGGCTCAAGTCTCATTTATTTAGATAAAGATTTTCTTTATCTAAATAACAGCTGTCATGTGATAATTGAGGTTTTAACTTTCCTGACCTCCAGCTTTATCATTGGATACAAATTTTGACTTCAATTTCTCTATGAAGTGAATGTCATAAGTCAAAACATCACTATGAGCACAATCAGAAAGTTATTCTGTGACATCTTTGACATCATAGCAGGGGCTTAGCTCCATTTTTAGCTGTCTATGTATTTCCTGCATGAAAAATGGCGAAGCATATTTGGAAGTTATTGGGACAGTGGTATAATTTCAGCCTTTACTCTCATGATGAATTGTTAATCTTATAAGGTACACCAGACTAAGAAACAGACACTGTGCAGACCTAAAACTATTTTATTAGAAAAGCTATAGTTACAGAATCTTGCAAGTCTGAATGTGCTTCCCTTCCTCCCTCTTTTATCTTCATGAGAATTAAGTGGGAGGTGGGGCTGCCTGAGGTGTTTTCACAAACTACTTTCTTGGCCTGGGCTCAAGTCTCATTTAACTGATTGTTCCCTTGGTAGCAGATCTTCCCTCTGACCTTCAAGGCCATTCTCTTTACCCAACTACAGTACATCAGTATATACCCTGGAATAATCCCAGTCTGAAAAATGCAGGTTATTGAATTCATGGGCAAGTGGGAATATTAATACTTACATCAACTTATTGCCAGTCAATTTTTTAAAAATAATTTGAGTTATGCAAGAGGAATTTGGATTGGCTACAATTGTGATAATGGCAGTATATCCAATTAAAACACAATTTCAGAGTTTGGTTCTGATGTAGTAATAGTGGCAAAATTCCCAAACTTCTGTTGGTGTTGGGAACTATCTTGAATTATTCCAAATCTGCAGTATTTTTTATGAACAATTAAATAGCATTACTAAGGTGGATATTAGTTATTTGCAAGAACTATTAAGTAATTGGAACATCCCATATTAAGAAATCAATAGCTAAAAGTCTTAAAGACAATTAAGCATGTTCTCAATGAACTTAAAATGAGATTAATTCAAGAAAAAAGTCTTTTGTCGTGTTTTTTGGTCTGCCAAGAGAATATTTTAAAAGGTTTGGCTATCATCCAAATTACATCTGGATTACTTTATTTTTTCAGTTTCAACTCAATATTCCTTTTCAAAAGATAATAGATAATATTCCTTTACAGGTGTTGTTTTCCCTGGCAGGAATACAATAATAATCCCTAGCTAGCCCACTAAAGTTTGTGCTGTCAAAACTTTCTTTTCCAGGGAATGCATCTTTGACTAGGATATAGTGAGTGAATTCTAAGGATAAACTCCTTTTAGTGGTATAATTATTATTTTCTTCCCACAGCACCCCATGGACATCAAAATTTGATTAGCCACCTCATAAATGGATTCCATTAATTAGCAAACACAATGAAATAATAATTGACAGCAAAACTGTGCCATATCAATAGTGTAAATTAAGTATGAAATTAAAGTTGTTTGGAGAGTAAGAGTTGAACAAAATATATTCTGCTGTGAATAACTGATAGCTTAATGCTTGGTATATGGCCTAGAAGTCACAATGAACTTTGACTATGCTGTGTCCTCTCCAGCTAGCACATGATTCAAAGCCAGATGAAAACAAGCATTGTTGCTGCCTGCTTAGATTCAGTAAGACAAGACTGAAATAGAAACTGGGCTTGTCTTTTGCATAATCCTGCACTTTGCCAAGTGTTTGAATAATTACATAAGCTAGGCAAAACATATATTTCACAAAAGGCCATGAAGTCCTCACTTTCCTGCCAGGTACAGGATCTGGGATGTTAATGGAGTCTGGGATATATATGTGTGGGATGTCTTAGGTGTTATTACCATGACCTCAACTTGGTTCTTTTAATTGATTTGATTGTGCATTGTGTTCTAGTGTTCGGTCACCAACAGAGTTCCATGCCTATATATGTTTGTTAAATAAATAAAGTAGATATAAAGTTGAAAGCCCCTTCTGGGAATATTTAGCACATCTAGAGAGTTGGAACAGGGAACCTGTGATCCTCCAGATATTACATATTAACCAGACCAATGGCCCAGACAGCATCACTAATGGTAAGGGATCCTGGGAATTATTGCTCAGCAACATCTGAAAGGTGATAGGTTCCCCCTCTTTGTTATAGGGCTATATACATGGAAGAAAGCTAGACAAAGTTTCACGAGATCACCTCTTCCCTGATTACATCTTTTTTGGAGAGTTATTTTTGGTTTATAATCAGGAACAGCATGCATTTTACAGAAGCAATGCATGCTTTACCCTCAAAATAAATTTTGGAAATCATATTAATTTTTAAGTTTTGAAAACAATTATTTTATTTTGAATAATTTGGCAATGACTCATGGGCTGTAAAATAATAAATACTTGGAGGTCCAATAGGAATTCTGTATTAGAGATCAGCTACGCTTCCTGGTTTTTGATCCTTTGGGAAACATTTTCTGCTTTTTTTCATATAAAGGATGAACATCTTAAGAAATCAATTTCAGCTCCATATTCCACATTGAACTATAGCCGTAAAGTGCACAAAATAAAATATAAGCAAACTGAATTTTACAGCCTCTTTTTTTGTTCCCAATACATTGCACCCTTGTAGAAGGATCCTCTATGTAACTGCAGACCTTGGCAATTCCCTGTAGTGTTCCTTGATCAAGAAATAGACTGTTGTGCTTTCTTTCTTGAACACAAGTGCACCCACTGCCAGGAGAAGGCTAAACTAAAAAAGAGTGTGCTTTGTCTTTTCATGCTGACTCTGGGAACTATTATGTCTGCTGTTTGGCTTCTTTTCTTTTCTTTTCTTTTCTTTTCTTTTCTTTTCTTTTCTTTTCTTTTCTTTTCTTTTCTTTTCTTTTCTTTTCTTTTCTTTTCTTTTCTTTTCTTTTCTTTTCTTTTCTTTTCTTTTCTTTTCTTTTCTTTTCTTTTCTTTTCTTTTCTTTTCTTTTCTTTTCTTTTCTTTTCTTTTCTTTTCTTTTCTTTTCTTTTCTTTTCTTTTCTTTTCTTTTCTTTTCTTTTCTTTTCTTTTCTTTTCTTTTCTCTTTTTTTGCTCAAAACAGCAGGAAGGCAGCAAGAGATGAGCTTTCCCCATTAAAGAGCAGCAAGGATTAATATATGTCTATACATATCCCAGACTGTAATACCAGCAGTGTACACAGCAAACTGTGATGAAGCCAAAATGATGACACATGTGCAATGATGTAATCACACAAATGCTGCAATTATATATTCGCATCAGGATGCCTGACACAAATCGTGGCATCACAAATGATAACACATATCATAACATAACATATGTTATCATTTGCCCCTCCCTTGCTTTCCCTGGAGAAACCCATGCATAGGGCCTGATGTAAGTTCATTGCTCCCCCTTACAAAGACTGGTGTCAACTGAAAGCAGTTTTGATAGTGGTTCCCTCTATATTCCAATCCCGATTCTTGAAAGCTCATATACAATGTCCTTAGAAACCACAACTTTGAAAAGGCTTTCCTCTAGAGGTTCAAGACAGTCCAAGTTCAGGTACTTTCCAGGCATAATGCAAATTGTTATTCAGGCAGATTTCTGTAGCCAGTAGTATACGTAAGATTCATTACTAGATTTTTTTAAAAAAAAGATAGAAAAAGATAATTAAAGATTTTGTTTAATAAGCATTAACAATCTTAAACTTTTAAAGATACAGAACAAATGAATATACAATGCTGTATGGGAGGAATTAGTCTAAGGATCAGACTTGTTTCCCTGAAAAATATCACCTGATCCAGACTTGGAAGTAATGTCTATATCAACCAAAGTGCTTGCAGACCACTTTTGGGGTAGGGATTTGAGACATTAGCTCCCCTCCCCTGATTTTTCTAATGACTCTCTACAAAAAAACGAGTTGCTGGCCAGAAGATGCCTTCAAATTTGGACTCTCTTTAGAAGAATCCAATGGTTGTTTTAAACTATGGGTTTACATATTTTCAATAAATTATATATTAGTAACTATTATTGTAGTGAAAAAATCAGGAGTCTGGTTTTTCATTTTGTTTGCTGTATAGATTACTTTGAGCTCTCTTTGAATGAGGGAGTGACGAAACACATTTCTAAAATAAATTTGAAAAATCAAATAAATATATAGCACTATATATGGGATCACTCAAAACTTATGGAGCAGTTGCATTCATTACTCTAACTTTTGACACTAATCTGTATCTTTTTGCATTTTCCAATCATAGCACCCTGTCAAGTCTAAATGGGGATATAATTTGAATTACCAAGAGTGAGACAGCGAACATTCAATATACCTGATTGCCTCTATTCAAATTGATCTAAACTTGAACTTCTTTTGAATTGAGTAGATTATCAAGATCAGATAAACTGACCTATTGTGCAGGGAGTTTTATTTTTTTAGATGATCAAATAATATACACATAGCCAGCTCTGTCCCACAATGTAACGATGTAAAGAAACGTTCAACTGCAAACATTTATTTTTTGTGTCTAAAAATAGACATTTTCATTTAAATGCAACTCGAGAGGACCTTTAGTCCTGCCATACCATTTCTTATTATGGATTAAGAGTATTACCAAAATAGTACTTTCTCAAGCAAATCTGCCCTTCTGAAGGAGAAAAAAGCAGGAAAGTTTGTTCATACAAGTCTTGCATTACGTGAGAAGTTTGAGCATGATACAGTTGGGTCCTATTATTCTAAGATCGAATGCATCTTTTATGACTGTTTGATGGCAACAAATGAATGAAAAGGAGATTCTATCTGAGTGGTTGTGCTAGATATCTATTACTTACCACATGTAAAAATGTATGCAATCAGGAGCAATGTTTGTGTCGATCATAGTCTAACTGTGCACAAAAGAAGATAAAGAACATCAGCACTTTCTCTAAAATAGTGTCCTGCTTGGTCTGACTATAATTCTCTTGAATCTCTAGTTCCAAAGAGAATGCTTGCCCTTTAAGTGTAAACTAAATATTATTTTCAGGTAGAAGTTTTTGTTTGCCACTGAAATTATAAAAAAGCATATATACCCAATCTGTTTTTCATAGCTGTGGTACTGCCTGGTTGCATTGGAAATGCAACTGGGAAAATATTACTCATTAAAAGAGACATCTAGAACATGGGACTTTTAAATTACAGCCAGCATATTTAGTTCCAGTGAAATAAAACAATTTATTAAGATGGTCTAGGCATACAATCAATTTTACTTACTTGGCTAACTGCACATATCCAAGTATGGTCATCTGGGGCAGTGCTTGTTTCCTTTCTAAAGGGAACATTGCTTCAGTTTTTTACCCAAGCTGACTTTTTTTAAGCAATGCAGATGATGGAAAGGGTGGATTCAGGAATTTATTTCCACAATTGATGTCTGAAGCAGTACCTAGCTAGAATAGTTTGGAAGCAAGCAAGGAAGGGTCTCTGTGTGGCAATATGAGGCACTTCGTCTTCTGCAGAAATGAAAACAGGCTTGTTATATAGTAAAAAGTTTGTTCTCTGAAGGTCAAAGCCGTGACACAAGTTTATATTCCACAGCAGCTTTCTAATGGGAGAAGATACCCTTCTAGAACGTTGTCTTGAGGATGAAGCATGCAGCAGTCATTTGGGATGTGTAAAGAACAATTATTCCTTTCCTTGCATAACAGAAATTGCTTTTCTTTTCCATACCAAAGAGAACTGGAGCAATTGGGCAGGAATTAGTGGGGAAGATAATGGAAGGAGTAAGATTCATCATCTTCCATCAAAGGGAGATTTTTAAAAATCCTCTGTAGATTTTGGTGAGGAAATCCTTCATAAATATATCTTGTCTTCTCTCTTAGGATGGAAACAGGATTTTTTTTCATTCCAACCATCCACCCAGAAAGACTTTGTGGAGTTGGTTTGCTATGCATCTGCTGGTGACATGATGGGGTTAGAAAAAGCTGTACTGATAGATTCTGAGTCCAGTTTAAGTCGCAGGAACTTGGAATTTTTAGCATCAAAGTCTTCAGTGACAGCCAGCTTGACCTTGCCATTCTGATTCTCCTTGATAGGCTCTAGAAAAACAACATGCTTATTTGCACTGATCTTGCGATTTGTTCCATCTGTGGCCGGTGGAGTGGCACTGAGAATAGACGATTGGGCACTGCAGTCTTGAGGGGGACTTATAGGCTTCCTGCAGCATTTAGAGCAACAGCATGGTGTAAGGTACAGGTACATCAGCACTAATACCAAGCTTACAACACACCCTAGGAGGGTTGTGAGGCTAGTACTGAAAGACTCCACTAATTTGGGGTGGTGGACTGTGACATTAACTTCATATGTTTCATTGATCTTTTGGAGCTCACTGATTGCTATGCACTCATAAATACCTGAATACAACCGATTGGCATTTATGATCTTTAAGCTTCCATTTTTTAAAGGTTGATGTGTCTGATCACTGTGCTCAGGATACATGAATAATTCATGGTGTGGGGAGATCCACCTGTAAGTGGTGGTGTTGTCCTTATGGAAGCTTGTGTTGCAGTCTATTATGAAGGATTCTCCCACTCTGCACAGCACTTCTGGAATGCCAAATTTCCTTTGGTTCCAAGAGCAAACTTTAAAATACTTATTGTAATTGAAGGTCTTAATTAAGGAGAACATATTGGGGTAGGCTTTACAAGTATGCTCCTCTATGAAATCTTGCACAGAACTGAAACCACGATGTTTCCATTCCTGGAGCATCTCCTGGAGAGAGCAGTCACATTTCACAGGGTTGTTGTGAAGATATAAGCCATTTTTAATGTACTTAGGCAAGGTTGCTATTACCTGAACAGGAATACTGCTTAGGTTGTTGGCAGAAAGATCAAGGGTCCTTAGATAAGGATGTTCAAGTCTTTGAATAGACTCAAATGGAAATTTAGTTATCCTATTCCAACTTAGATAGATCTTTTGCAAATTGATTAGTGTGACAAAAGCATTTTCATCTACTTGCACAATCTTGTTATTGTAGAGCAGAAGCTCTTTCAAGTTCACAAGGTCTTCAAAGTAGTACTTTTCCACAGTTTGCAGATGGTTGGAGGACATATCCAGATGCACAAGGTAAGTAGCATTGCGAAACACCTGTTGGGTGATGTTTTTTATTTTGTTGTGGCTAATCCTAAAGGTTTCAAGACGTGGTAAAGTAGTCAGCCAATAATCATGAAGCTGAACAATAGCATTGTGGCTGAGATCCAAGGTGGTAGCTGTAGGAGGCAATGTGACAGGGACATGCCAAAGGTTTTTCCTGGTACAACTCAGGAGATCAGCAGTACAGATACAGACTTCAGGGCATCTTGTGAAAGTGGAAGCATTGCTTAAGATGCTAACTTGAACACCCAGTTCAAACAATACCAACAGCTTCCCCAGGAGTTTCCAAATAAATAGAGTTAATGTCGGCACGCTCATCATGAAACAATGGAATTCACTCTTTCCTGCCAGCAAGATCAATCCAGGCTGCCAAAATAAAATTCACACTGAGCATGGTCTTTCATGGAATGTTGTAATCTGAACAGCTGGCAGTTGAATGGATTGCTAAAATCAGATGGCCCCTTTTAGAGACTTAAAAAATCTTCTAAAACAATTTGTGTACATTGCAGAAAAAACAACATTCAGGTGAAAAAATCACATGCAGCTACTGTTCAGCATGCCATGTTAAGGCTTGGTACCAGTTTAACAAGCCTCTGCGTTCAGTTTTTGCCCAAATAATTTCAAGGGCACCAGGCATCTAGAAAGGTAAAAATAAATATGCCCTTGAGCCAAATCCCTCTGAACTCTACTTCAGGATCTTTGAGAATGTTTAAGGATGTGTCTCCAAGCAGTTTCTCTATTAGATAACTTGTCCTTGCATCCAATTGAGACTGCCATTTCAATAACTTTATTGCACAGAGAAGTCAGAGCCATTTCTGCCAACTGTCCTTGGAGCCAAAGTTCCATTAGTGAATCCGTATTCTGTGGTTAGGCAACTCCTGTACAGCTCCATTGTTAATGAGATTCAGGTAGAAGCCTCTCCCTTCCCTTCTGTAATCCCAAATGAAAATGCCAAAAAAAGCAGCTCTTACCCCGTTTCCATATTCTCTGGTTTATACTGAGCAGCATCACTCCTTCTTGCTACTTGAATCTTTCAGCCAAGCTCAATGTAAGCAAACACTTCCCTCCTCTTCTGCTATTTACAAGCAGCCCATGAATACTGACGGGGAAAGCCTAGTGGGCTTAGAAGCAATCTTACTGGCTTGTGTTAAAAGGGAGTGGTGTCAGAAGGGGAGGAGAGAGGAGAACCAGTAGTGAAGACATTTTTTTTTTGAATGGCATGTAGGTTCTTTGTTATGCCATGCGGGGGCAGAAAAATCCTGCACAGCTATTCTAAGACTGGCTGTCCAAGAGGCACACAAGAACTGCAGCAACTTGCGCCAGTGGTTACAATTGCAAGGGGAAACAAAGAGGGAGAAGGAAGCAGCCTTGTAAAAATAAGGAAGATTGTGCTCCCGTTAAGAAACCCAGCCGCCTCTCTCTTCAAGCTGCCTCTGTAGACTTTCGGTTTAGTAGCTCTTGAATCTGGTCTGCATTTTTTTTTAACTAGAGGGCATGGCCTTGCAATTATTAAAAGAAGACACAATCAAAAGTGGAAATTTATTACTTTGCCTATTTCACTGAATGGGATACATTTACAACAACAACAATAATCTTTTATTACGAACCTAGATCATTTTTGTCTCTTTTGAATATGTTTGTACATTATGTTTACAGCCTTTTGTGATGAAAACACTTGAAAAATTGTACAGTGGTTAGGAACCTGAATCAGAGGTGAGGTGTACATTAGGCAATGACACTGAAGCATAAGGATGGCACAGTGACCACTTGAGATCACTGAGATAATTAGGTTTGTCTATTCAGTGGCTGGCACAATCTTGTACTTCCAAATAGAGGCAGGCACTATTACACATTTTTTTCAGTAATTCAGTTCTAAAAAGCAAGTCGTTCCTAATTCCCTCCCTCCCAGAAAGCCCACAAACAAGGCAAAGTGCACTTTTCTTAGCATCCAGGCTTCTGTTTCCACTGTGAAACATAACATTTAAGCCTTTCATTGTTGTGAAGTTAATGAGTGATTCCCTTGACATTGTTGTGTGAAACTTTCCCCATTGGAATCCTGATTAGGAAAACTCACCGAGAGCTTTTCTGTTGCTACACTGCATCATCATCATGCTTCATGGTCCGCTCTTCCGGATTTGTATCTTTCAGTGCTATCTGGATTTTGGTGAATAAGTACAGTGATCACAGTAATATATAATTTCATAATCCTAGCAATGGCTTCTATAATGAAAGCAAATTTACCTTGTATCACTGGCAAATTCCCAAAGGTAGAATAATAGAAGTAATTAGGTGTGAGTTAATAGCTACCATCTGTACTCTAGTACTGAATAATCATACAGAAGTTATCCTCTGCTATGCTGGATGAAACAGACCTGTCCCATAATCCAGAAAGTTGTCTTGCCAGATTCTGTTCATTTGCTTGAATAAACAGTTCTCTAAAGCCCTACATTTTTTCGTCAAGTTGTAGTAATAATAAATACATCTTTTTCACTGCTATGAATATCAGAAGCTGCCTAATGCTGAGTCAAAGTCAGGCTACTGGTTCACATAGCTCAGTGTCACCAGCATTGACTGGGAATAGTCATCAAGGTTTTAGAGAGGAGTTTTTCAGCTTATCTGGAGTTGGCAAGGACTGAACCTGGAACTTCCTCCATGTGCAACCCATGCTCTACCACTGCTGCTTTGCCTGCAAAAAGGCTTCCTGCCTGGAGCCCTGAATCTGACTCAGTGTAAGGTAGCTCCCTATATTCCTCTGCTCTTGAGCTGGTGACTAGGAGTGTGGCCCCAACATTCAAGAAGTTGCTTCTTCCTTTCTTGGATGTTGCACCTTACCTTTATTGCTAATATGTGTTAGTTTAGAGGCTACTGGCTTGCTGTTGTGTGACTGATCTTGTCAAGCTGCTAGCTGTAATGTTACTCTCTAGACAGGAAATGTGTGTGTGTGTTTCATGAAGGTGAGAAGGACAAATGGATAGTTTCTCTGGGAAAAACACATTTCTAAACCCACATCAAATCTTACTCATCTTATTCTTCGTTGGAATCAGCTTCATAAGACATCTGCGTATTTGGACACTTCATGATTTCTTTTCCATTGCTTCTGTTTACAAACATAACATTTCTTGAGTTTTTTTATCTCTATTGCTATCAGTAATTATCTGGCCTTTCTTCATTTCACATTTGTCTATGGCTGATCCACTAATGAAACTTCAGCTCGTTCTCAGTAAATGGGATGTTCAGGTGCAATAAGCCACCTCTGCACACTAAGATAAAGAAATGGGAGGCAGAACTGCCTGATATTTATTACGTTCTTTTGGCTCGTTAGAAAGCTATTCTTGCTCTGAAGGTTGGTCAGAGATCGAAAGAGAGATTGCGTGCCATTGAATTACCCTTTGCCCCCTGTACTGTTTAAGGAGGTTGACCAGGCATGTCAGCAGAGTAATTGCAGGGGTAGTAACAGCAGGGCCTGAGATGTAATTTCCAGGGAGACCTAGGCTGCTTTATTTGAAGGAAGTGAAAATCAAAGCCGAGTAATTGGTTTCCATTAAGGCAGCAAATGACTAATTTGGCTGCTGCAGCTGCAGGATATGATGGGCACTTAACTCTCTGTTTTCCAGTTGAAGGAGATCTGTTCTAGAAGAAGTACTTGCCAGATGCCTCCCTGTATGCAGCTGCTTTTAAAGGTGGAATTGAATACTGTATGTAGTAGGTATAGGAAATAGTTCTATACTTCCTCTTCCCAAGTGTTCTTTCTCACATGTCTGCTTTTTATCCGGAGATTAGATCCACATCCACTTTAATGACTTTGGCTATGGTTTATTAAGGAAAGCTTTGAATGAATTTAAATATTTTTTACCGTTTTGTAAATTTCAGAATGATGAACTAACTTACCATTTTGTAAAGCCCTGTATTTCAGAATGATAACCTACCTGATATTTGTAGGCGCAGAAACAACCTTCTCATGTGCTATGGAAAGTATAATGTCTTCACTGTAGAGTAGTAGCGCGATAACCCTGAAAATCAGGGGAAGTTATGTAAACAATGACTTAGCCCTAAAAGAGAGGAGTGAATGAGAAAGAAACTCAACATTGACCTGCCTTAATTCTCTTTGGTATACAAGTAGAGAGAGAGAGAGAAAAACTCTCAGTCTTTCAAAATTCTGTTATTATATCTTAAAACAGAGTTCCAGTGGTTCTTATGGTGTCTATTTCCTGACCCAGCTTACCTCAAATGGCTAACAGCCACTACATGCCAATGCATGTAGCACATTGTAGCATAATTACCATGTGGCATTTGCTGAAATTAATAATCTTTAAAATATTTCAGTGTGTTCTTAGCTTTTCTGATTTCTTAGTGTTTTGCTTAATGTGTCAGTCAAAAAAGAGACAAAGTCTCCCTTGTATGAAATATACCCTGAAACAAGCAGTATAATAATTATATTGCTTATTTGTAATTATCTTCCCCTCCTTGGTCCAGATACTGTGTAGCTTTCATAAGAAAATAGAACTTGTGCTAGAAACAAGGAACAAACATGGTTCTCCGTAAAATGAATGATATGCAACATTGTGAATCTGTGTATCAGCAGTATGATTTGACCTTGCTAGACTCATGAAATTGCTGTTTCCTAAGTAAACATGGTAAAGTGAGCGTGAATGTCGGTGTCACACAGCTACAATTAACTGCTGCAATGATGAGTTTTATCGCTCTAGTCTTTGAGGGAAAAAAAAGAGAACTCTAAATTGGTTCTTACTGAAGCAATACACATCTAGGCTTGTTCCAGAATGCATATGAAGATTCACAAAGCTGATTGCTCTGCCGTGCAATGAATGCATACCTCCATGTTCAAAAATTTACACATCAAGAAAAATAGCTCTGCTCCAGCTTTCTTTTTAGCATACTCAAGTGCCATATGGTGGGGAAATTTTCTTTATACGGTTCCTCCAAATGCACTCACTTGGCAGTGGTACTTTCAAGAGAGATGTTTACCGTTGTGTTGTAAAGCAGGTTCCTCTTGCATGGGGAGATGAGCAGGAAAAGTCTCAGTTATATCCAATTACATTTAGCCACCAGGAAGAGCTCTGCCAGCTATAATTCCATTAGACCTAACGTGTTGAAAAGGAACATTCCTCTTTTTCAAGCTTTTTCAAACATTTTCAAGCTTTTCAGTCACAACAAAATGGAAGAAATGGCACAACTGCTGCTAGGAAAACACCATGGGGGCATGAGAGCACCTAATGGCTTTTAGAGTAACAGAAGATTCCTCACCTGAAAAGATCAAATTTGACATAAAACGTTTGATGGCTGTGGTTAGCTCCATCTTCTGCTTATTTATTATTGTGTTTGGAGCTGCGTGCGTGTATTGTTTGAAATGCATCCCTTCCCCAAACAGGAGAATTAGTCTCTTTTAGAGAATCAGTTGCTTTTTGTATTTTTCCTGTAGGAGATGCAAGCCCTATAACTCCTTGGAAACAGTACTGGAACAGGTACTTCTGCCACAACCATCCAAGATGCTGTGAATATAGTCTCCTTTGGTGGCGGGCAGTTTCCTCCTGTCATTCTCCCATCTTCAGGACATAGTTTTGGGTTGTGGCCTTCTTAATTTATGGTGAACTTACCACTGTAGCAGATACACCGCAAGTTAAAGCAGAAGGTTGTTGCCACGTCTGTGGTGCTGAACTCAAAGAATCAGAATTTAAAGATTCTAACAAGGGAAAGCCGTAATACTGCTCTCCGTAATATGAGAGGAAGATTGACATTGGCAGAGTGCTAATTCTTTACGGAGTATAATAGAGGCCTTCTTCATGTTGAGAGTAGGGGAACCTAATATTGCCACAAAGCTCTGAGGCAGCTTAGTCCCCAGCTTCCCTGAACCCATCTGCTGCTGCACAGTTTAGCAAACTTGATTGTTTTGCTCTTAATAAAGCATTCAGGAGGACCACTCTAAATGTTGTCTTTAGTTGAGGAAAGGAGAACCCATCAGCAGTCACCCCAGTGACAACTCCAGAAAGCAAAAGGAACATAGAAAATGCCTTTGCCCATTTCTCAGTAGGCAGGCACATTGCTCGATACAGATACTAAATGTGCTGTGTCGTAAATGCAGTAGCCACCACCCTGCTACTGGCTGAAATGTACTGGCATTTGAGCCAGAGGCAAGGACAAGAGCTCTCTGGTACTTTTTAGGTCAACTCAGTTTAAAAATATTTCACTGACATGGCAACTGTTAGAAGTAAAGAAGGGAAAAAGCTTTATAGAATGTGGTTGAAAAGGTGGCATCTTTATTTATTTTACTGGGCCTGTATGCCACTCCAGTCATCACCAACTCTGAGCAGCTCATGGTGCAGAGTTTTGAGGCCTATTGCCCTCTGGGTTCAACTTCCAAGAAAGAAGGTGTGGGTGGATAAACTGACGGAGCAGCTGAGCGATTCAATTCAAATGAAATATAATGCAGAACTAAGCAGTGAATAATGGCCATGCTTTGGAGATCAGTTTAGAGCACTTGGGTTACACTGCCAGCTGATAATTCATAAGATTCCAAGACACAGAATCAGCATCCTTTATTTCAAATAGAAGAGTTAATACTTACCTGCATTTAGACATGGCCAAAAAGGAACTCAGCCATTCTTCTTTCTAGAGAGGAAAACCAATGTTTTAAATCCAAGCCTTGGGAAGCGGTGGGACCAAGGCAAGGAACAGAAGCCTCTGGAAAAAGGTTGCAGAGCTACAGAAAACTATACAGATTCAGGGTAGCCTCAGAAACTCTTTTTCCAAGAAATAAACGTTTTAGCTAAAAATCTGTGCTGAGATTTTAAGCTTTAATTTGGCTATAAGTGATTAAGTCTGTTTTACTGACTGCAGTATTTGGATTGCACTCTCTTTTTTTAATCTATGAACTCCTAGTGTTTGGGTGAGCTTTATAACTTTTAGATTTTCTGGGCAACAGAGTTTTCCTTGATTATTAGCAAACCAATTCCATCTTGTATTCTGTTCAGAATATTTTATTTTTTTTCCTGGAGGACAGTATTTTCTGAAGACATTATCTCTACTTTAGTAACTCTATAGTCCAGCATCTTTTACCATTGAACATTTTGCATGTGACTCCTTAAACTTCCAAAAGAACTTCTATGTCCTTTTTTTGTCTGTTTCCTTTTTAATAAGGCTTAAGTTTGTGTGCTTGATCTAGCCCAAAATAGGAGGTAGGGCCTTACTTCCCTAATTTAACACTCTAAAAATTACAGAGCCAGGACTTGGTATAGAAATTGCTGTTGTTGTTTCACTGTTATGTGCTAATAAGACCCCATCCACTCTCATTCGCCCCAAGCAATTACTAACCAACTGTACCAAGGCAGGAAAGCAGAGCCAGGAGGGATGTGTGTGTGCTATTCCAGAGGACTTTTGGGAGAGAAGGTGGAAGACCTTCAACCTTTTATATCTTTCACACTATGGGCCCAGCATTAGGCCATTACAATATGAATTAGTTTTTTAGATCCATGTTTACATTATTTAATGAGCTTGCAAAAAATTTTCCTCATTTTATTTTGTAGTTAGCACACTATTTGCAAAGTTCCCCTCCAAAAGTTGGATCTTTCTAAGTGATTGTGTGTGTCTGTGTGTGTGTGTGTGTGTGTGTTTGATTCATGGATGGATATGAATGACATGGAGATAACAAAAAGAGGACAGAGTTATATTTTCCCAAACCATAACTGATGCTCTCATGTCTCTGTTGTCCACACATTCCCTGATAAGGGATAAATGCAGATGTTTGGATCATGAATAACTGTACATACCTAGACATTATATCCAATATGCAGCTGTTGGGAAACAGCATTATTGGGAACAGAGCCACAGACTCAGTGCTGCACCCTTTCATGCATTTGGTGTATGGAAGGAAAAAAAGCTACTCACAGTTACTTCTGGCAAAATTCTACATTATGTTTCCACATTTCATTCTTGTGAGACTCTCAACTGTTTCAGTAGACAGGTACAGAGTTGTATAATAGCATCATGCACTAAAATAAAGAATTTCTCTTTAATTTTTTGTAGTATTAAACTATTTGTTACCCTTGTAGTAGGAAAACATACTGATTTAAGATTTCTTGGCTGGTATATTAAATATTTTTATTTATTTAGGTGTCATGAAAAACCAAGGACTGTTTTGTGTGTTTGCTTTTTATTTTATATGTTAAAAGCAAATTCCTTTTCCAGATGTTCCTATGTACCTAGTAAAAGTAGTTGGGGGAGGGTGAATTATCCCAATTATTTTGCTCACCTTTCTTACTAAGTTTCAACTTCTTAGAATACGAAAGATAAGAAGGAAGACAAACATTATAGTTATATTAACAAAACCTTTTATTAAGCCATAATTTTGTATATATTTGTGAAATGGAAAATCAACTTTGATAGAATTCAGTATTCTAGGATTCTTATCCTAGTGCAAGGCTGGGGACCTGAAGGCCTCAGATGACTTTTCTGAAAATATTAATTATGAGTGGTGCCTGTAATTTGCTGGGTACATATCAGCTGTTTCTTCTCTAACAGACTTGATAATTACTGATTTGCTGCATTATTTAGCCTTAGTTTTAAATTTGTTCTGAACCTATCCAATCTCTTTAACTTCCATCATGAACAGCCTTAATTCATCATACTGGTTTCAGTGGACTCAATAGAGTCCATTGGAGTTGGGCAGCCATAAATGTGAATGAATGAATGAATGAATTTTATTTATTATTTATTTCTATGTATTTATTATATATCAAATTTGACACCGCCGATCTCATTGAAATAACTCTAGGCAGTTTACAGCAGAGATAAAATCAATTAAAATACAATATAAAAACAATCCTAATAATAAATAGCTTCCAAGAAAGATGAGTTATATAGTAACTTGTACTACATATATACATATAAAGGCTAGAATAGTTTTTAAAAAGTTGCAATGCTATTGGGAACTTGGTTTAGACTCCAGACATTGCAAATCTTAAAGAAACTGCACTCATTGCCAATATATTTCTATTCTGAGTTTAAGACATTAGTGATGACTCTGCAGTGGCTCCATAGTTTGGCCGTTTCCCTTTATCTACCCATCTGTTATTCAGATATCCTGCAGGGACACTTGTTGGCATCCTATCACTGGATATTGCACATTGTATGGAAAGGGCTTTTTTGGCTGTGGTGACTCAACTACAGGAAACTCTTCCTCCAGCAAGCAACCTGGCACACCATTATTTCATTTCTTAGCAAAGAAAACTTCTAGCTAGTTATCCAACCGTTGGATTTTTGTGACTGTAGCTCAGTTTTTATATGTATACAGGTACTGGATATGCCTTTAATGTGATTCTCTTTTAGTGCTTTGTTATTACTTTGTATTGTTTTACTTATTATATTCTATCTACCAATATAAGGAGCAGATAAATATTTAAATAAGTAGACAGCATTTTAAAGTAAGCCAGAAAATGCAACTCTGTTTCATAGCATTTTGGTTTCTAGTTTATGTAGTATTATTCACTTATAGGTCAGATTATTGATTTTCTGTGGATATATAGCTTTGTATTCCTAAAACCTTGGTTCCTCTTGTTCCTCACTTATTTTGGGCAAGTTGCGTAATCTGTATGAGTCAGGACAAGAGGGCTTTTAAAAATTCTCTTTAATGCATAAAGTGTCATTTGAAGCCTTGTATGAATTATCTTTAATTGTTCCTTAGCATGACTGTCTTTACTCTTCTTAGATATTTGCTTTAAAATAAATATAAATAAACAAGGAGGTGGGGGGTTGCCTTATTCCCACTGTACCCATTCTTGTTTTTTTTACATATTGTGCTTCAAGATTCCATGGCGTTGGTATAGCAAATGCAGCCTGTCAGCTGATCTAGTTGCTAAGCAGCTGCCTTTCAACCTTGAATCAAATATCAATCAAATGAAGAATAAAGTGTCTGCTATTCAAGACCTGTTTAATTTACCAGTATGTTGTACCTTGCGAAGTGAGGGCAAGGGGGACATTTGGCATATAAATTGTGAACTTTCTTTGCTTCAGGTGCAAAAGCCATTGGCTTCTAAAAGACTAGCTTCCAGAAATAAGCTGACATCAGTTTTATGGAGCATCTTACATTAGAATAGATAGGGTTTTTGCTGGTCCAAAAGGGATTCTCAGGTACCTTTCAAAAATGGGTTTGTTTTTCTAGCAAGTAGCCTCTAGTCCCTTTGAAGCTTGTTGAGGATCTGTGGCCTGCCAGCTCTTCTTCTCTTTCCTTCAGCCATTGCAACCTATGCTGCCTTAAAGCACCCATGGGTAGTGGTCTCAGGGCAACAAGTGGGCTTACACATTCCTTTCATGGAGAACATGTGGCCTGAAGGCCTGGAAAAAAGTCTTTACCAAGTTGTACAAACTCTTGTGACAAAAGAGGGATGGCTGTAAGCAGTGTGGTGCCTTGGTATTCCAAGGCAAGGGACTTAAAAAGAGGATTTCCCTGTCTGTCTGTCTTTCCAGGGCTGAGCGGGCAACAGCTGTGCTCCTGGCAGATCCTTGTTTCCAGCTCCGTTCTATTCAGTACTTATTGGGTCACACGGAACCTTTAGTCCTGGGAATGACATCGTCTTCTGCTGATAAGAAACATTTCTCCCTGCAGAGCTGTAAGTATCTCCAAAATGTTGTGCTTCCATATGACAAGAACTGTTTGCCTTGCCTTGCTTTTTGTCTCTAGCCAGTTTGATGGTTGCCTAACTTCAAGAGGTGTTTGTAGAAAAAACAGTCAGATAGCCTCTGCTGTAGAGTTTGTGAACAGTCTGTAAGGTCTCTTAACGTCATCTTGGTAATTTTTTTTCTTTTCCCTTGTTAACCTGTTCTTGTCCTCAAAATATATTTGCTTGTTTGAAACTCTTTAGAGATATACACTATTTTCCAATCCTTGCATGCCTGAGATTAACTCCAACCCTGTTCTCTGAAAAACAGCTGTCAAGAATGTGAAGAATCAGAGCTTTATTTAAGATGAAATCTGAGCCTCTTTTCTGATAAATATTCAGAGCTATTTTTGTGGCAAAACCCATATGAAAAAATAAAACCACCATTAAAATGCATCCAGAACAAAATAACACAATAAAACATGTCACAAAGTCCTCGTGTTATTTTATTCTAAGATTCTTTAGAGTACAAGCAGCTTCTAATGGAGAGGATTAGCAGAGCCGGGTAGAGCTGTTGAAATAGGTCATAGCACGTTTGTGGTAGGAAAGCCTGGATCCAGTCCACAGCAACTCCAGTTAAAAGAGTCAGATGAAAGTTGTTAGAGAATATTTCTTCCAGAAACTCAGAGAGTTGCTGCCAGTTGTAGTTTTCCGGACTAAGAGGATGGAGCAAGGGACAAACTTGTTATATGTTCTTCCTGCATTTCTTTTCCATGAGTATAGTAGCCTAACTTATAACTGATCAGTTTGACTACAGTTTGAGAAAAAAAGGTCATTTTATTGGCTCCAATAAAAGAAGCTCCATCAGGCACCACCTCTCCCTGAATTGTTGTTGTCTCAGCTATCATTATATGAACCACTGTATAATTGTTAACTTTAAACAGTAGAGCCTGAGTTTGCTTTTTTCCTTTTCCTACCCATTCTAGTTTGTGTGTGTGTGTGTTGTATCTTTTTATTGTTTGCATGTTAGCCACCAGGGAACTCTTTAACTGATGAGCAGGGCAAAAAATTACACTGTGAGGCTGCATTTGACACTGCTTGGGTTATAGTATTAACCCTGACACACAGGATAAGGATTGTGTAATGTATCCATAGCATGAAATATGGGAACAGGCTTCCACTTAATCTGCCTTCCCCAGTGCTGTACTTTTGAGGGGCCTAAATTTAGCGTTGTTATCTTATGTTATTTTTTTAACATTGTCCAGTCTAAATATTTGGAAAAGGATGTCAGCAGAGATAAATCCCAAAGGGCAAGGACCACACTACTAACTTTATGTATCAAGTTAGCCCTAACTGGCTATCTTATCCAACCAATTAGAAGCGTACAGTAATGTTTCAGCTCTTTCTTTACATTCTGCACCCTTTACAGTCTCCCTGTGAATGGATATCCTCCTATTCCTTTTGAAGATTATGCATCCCTTGAGTATGTGGCATTGTGGGTAAAAAGTCTATGAGAAAACACAGAGACTAGTGAGGACGCTGAAGTGAAGTGGCTCAGAGGCATCGTGGTGGCTCCTGGGCATGCTGGATAGTTCGTTTTGGGTATTTGATTGAAGGGTAAGGGGGGGTGAGGGACTGGCTTGACTGTATGTGTTTCTGTCTTGATGAGGTTGTTTTGTTAAACCATCTTTCAATTCACTGAAATTGAGTTACTGTGAATACTGTCATTGTGGATCAAGCATTGATGAAAAGAGGGCAATGAAAGCATTGCTTTCCTGTACCATTAAAATGGGTTGCTTCTCATAAATCAACACTGTTAGAAAAGCATTTGTCCAGCTCTAAAAAGAGAGAAGCAGACTACTGTCCTTAGCTCTGCAGAAAGGCAAGAAAGTAATTGGAGCATCAGGACAGAGAAATGCTGCTCACCAAAGAATAATACTGTCGTAATTTCTGTGTTTTCTCTAGACTGTTACTTCTTTAGCGATCTTGAGCTGATGGGTAAAACTAGACATGACTGGGATGGCACTGATGATGATGAACTGTTAAAACTTTAGAAGAATCCTTGTAGCATCCAGCCTAGAGGAAGCCTTGTTTCTTCCTCTAAGTGGTTGTTAAAATGTAGTTGTTCTGTTGATTGATCTTACTGTCCTCAGGTATGAAAGATTGGCTGAAAGGCCCACTGCCTCAGACCTGGATCGTTGCAGATTTTCTCCTCTAACTGAACATGTAGAAGCAAATAACTTTCTATTGTGTTTAAGAGAGAGAGAGAAAGAGAATGAGTCTAAGCAATATCATAAAGCAGCATCACAGCTTCAGATGTGATCTTTGTTTTCTCCCTTGTGATGGCTCTTCTGTGAACCTCAACCAAGCCCAGGAAAGCTGCTTTTCTAGCAAATTGAATGAGGCAATCACAGTTGCCCTTGGTGTGCCATATGTTCACCATGGGATATAGAGGGGGATGTAAGAGAGCTTTTACTCTGAAATCTGGATCTTTAACTGTTATAGAAATGGAAAATAGTGGTAAGTGTGTGAGTGTGTGTGTAAGTGATTAAAGTTCCTTATTGCAGCAGTTTTCAGGCATTAAGGGCTCTGGAGTTATTGCTAATTAGTAACTTGAGGCACATTGACTGGAACAGGCTGTGCATATGAAGGCTCAATAGTTCTTGCAGGAATTGCAAACCTTTCCCATCTCCTTGAAGTCAGAATAAATGGGGCTTTCTTACCTAACAACTGCAGGCTTTTATTTTTCTATGATTGTATGAAAATATTATTATAGATGAGGTAGCCAGCTGCAGAGAATACCATAGGCAGATTTTCTTCTCTTTTCTGTAATGCGCTGTAAGGTCTCTCTACATCAATCCCTGCTAATTGTTTTATAAAATTGAACAACACCTCCCATCTATCAAGGCTCTTCAGCAATTAGACTCTGTGGCCTGGCTGTGACTTCCACTGCCCTGCAGCAAAGGGATTGTGTTCCCTTTCTATTTCTGGGCTCTGGAGGAAAAGGTCCTTTCCGGCCTGTTGGAGAGTACCCACTCTTTAATAGCCTGATTCCCAGAATGTGAGCCTGTACGTCTGCCAGCAGTACCACCACTTGACAATGCTGCTGAGCTGGCCCAGAAGCTAAATGCTCCAGCCTCGGTATTTGTTTGCTGACACAGTGATTATCAGATTTGTTTCCAGACTTCGTTTTATAGCTGTGGCACATGGACGTTTTCAAAATTGTTCTGTGCCTCCTCTAGCTATTCATCTTCCCAGCTTGATCTAGTCAGAAAAGGCCCATGGTTTGCTGCATCAATCCTAAAGACTAAAGAGTGAAAGAAAGCTACCATAAAACAACAGGTATTATAACGACACAGCTTATCTTAGTTAGGTGAGTCGGCTTGGGGGAGAAGCTTATATAAATCTGCATCCTGGAACATGCTGCAGGAAACTTTTCTTGTACCTCTTCATGAAACAGTCTTAACCTGGTTCAGATTATTATTTTTCATCGTAGATTCTCTTGTTACAGCCTTGTGACACTGGAGAGCTTTCATCTTTTTCACGGATGGATTAAATGCCATCTCTAAATGTCATTCTTAACATCAGTTTCTTTTATAATCATGATACAATCCTCTTTGCTGCACAATGTTCTGAGTATAGAAAAGTTAAATATTTTTAAGACTTACAAACACTATCAAATATTGTAATATATTTGATCAGAAACAATAGATCTCCCCGTATGTAAGAAACCCTTGCATAACATTTCCATGCATACTATGGTATTCAAAAGCTTCACATTTACTTTTCTAACACCAAATGTCGGTGGGGCATACAGTAGTTTTGACAGCGCAATTGTCATGATGAGCTCAAACTTTCCTAATCTATTTGTGCTTACTGGGATTGACTCATTAGAGGATGTGTTGGGCTGTGCCACCCTGTGGCCATCAACCTTCACTACAAGTTCAGTTTAATTGCTCCCAGCCAATCACGGGTGGAGAAGAAGGTTTGAAAGTTAAAAATGTAACTGGTAACTTTTTCTTCTGTCATATTGTCAAAACCTACACCCATCCAATCCTTTCTTCTTCGGTTTGTTTTGCAGACACTGATTATATCAGCCAGGAAGAGCTAGCCAAGGTGGAGCAAATGCTGGGTCATCTCAGTGAAGAATCCAAGCAAGCTGCAGCTGCCACTTTGGTAAGTATTCTGATTACCTGAACGTGTGCATGCTGTTCTCCTTGGCAACCTGCATCCACAGTAACACAGAGGCTCTCATGCCGGCACGTTATATACCCAGAGTTGTATAAATGCAAGAAACATTAGTTAACTTTCTTTCCAGGCTGGTATGTCTCTGACTGCAAGACCTTGTTTAGAAATGTAGGACCGTATGAAACTGTGGGTCCAAGCTTTATGTCAAAGGTGCTTGCAAAGGTTATGTTTCCATGAGCTGAAACTATTTCTGAACTATCTGGAAGGACAGTAAGAGCATGGTAACATGATTCCAGGTAAACACAAGGTTGTGCCTTGAGATTAGCAAGAGGAGTTAATGTGCTAAGAAATCCTTTATTCTGCAGAGAGCATAGAATGAGTCAATGTCAGAGTGTCTGTGTCGTACGCATGTTCAGCAAAGTAGGTGTATGCCATACTTAATGACTAGTGAAGCATGATGGTTTACCAGAGAGGAAGGAAGCCCTGTCAACCTCTGTATGCTTTTCATCTGTGCTCTGCAAGTGTCCAGTGGACAAATGGATCTTCTAGCGGGATGCAAGTCTGTGTAAAATTCTATTTCCCAAACCTAATCCTTGCCAAAACAATTCTACTCAAATTGTAGAAACAGAGTAAAATGTGCAAATTAAAGAGAGAGAACAAAAGTAAGTTTGAGGAAATGTGCATAATTGCAGTAACAGAAATAAGTTCCTTTGATGGAGAATTTTGAGTAGGGAGTGCAGAAAGTATCTAGAAGGAAAGGTCTTTAAGTAGCACAAAAGCTGTCCAGATTAATTCTTGTATCTAAGATATCACTGCATGTATTGCTATGTCTGGGTGACCTCCAATGAGAAGCAGTGATCCAGCAAGGAACATGATCTCTGGCAGGGACTGGATATGAATTATTAATGTGTCTGCTTGCTCACCTTCCAGTTGCAGTTGGAGCTGTGTGAAGGCTGCTGCATGGGGGTGGGAGGGGGGAGGAGCAGGAGGGATGCATGTGACGGCTCTGTCTCTGGGTTTCAGTAGGAAGTCACGGTCTTAGCCAAGGCCGAACTAGAGACAGAAGCTGGATCTTCATTAAGAGCCGCAAGCTGAGCTGGACTCAGTGTGTCCTCTGTATAACACAAATGCAAATATGAGAACCTAGTCACAAATATTTTGATTTCAACATCTTTTGAACCCTCCCAAAATCATATTAAAAGGTAGTATTTACATATATGTTCTCTGTTTCAAAAAAGAAATTTTCAAGAAATTAGGTATTGTTTTGCCATTTTTAAAATCTCAATTTCTTACCCTACTGATTGTAGCACAATTATCTTTCTTCTTGGGAACAAGTAGAGGCTTTTCCTTCAAATATGACATTCTTGCATCATGATCATTCAGGAGCAGGCATTCACATATCTCAAAGATGTGGCATTGTGACCCAGATGTTGTTTAAAAAAAAAAAGCTTGCCATCTTGACTTGTGCTCAACATCAATCTGCCACTGTTCAAGGATATTCCAATGGTCTCTTTGATCCTGTCCTTCTATCTGATTCTCCGTCTTCTATTTTCATCAACCTTGTCATATCTAATCATTTTTTCTACACCATCTGCTTGCATTCCTTGTCCAAAATAGGTGGGTTTCTGATTCCTCGAAGTAGCAGCCTTTTTTTGGTTCAGTGCTGATTGGGCCTTCTTGTAGTGCATAGTACTCTCTGTAACCATCTTCAAATCCATAGTTAAAAGGGATTTATTTTCTTTCCTTTATTCTTTCTTTGTATCCACCTTTCACAGGCATACATTGCTACTTGAAAGACCATTGCTTTAATTATCTTAGACTCTAAAATGTATTTATCCTTCTTGATTTCTTTACTTTCAGCTAATCAAGCGTTGTTGTTTGAATATATCAAAATGTTGTTTTTTCAACCTATTTTGATTCCAGCTGTCATCTCTTCCAGTCCTACCAATCTTATAACATATTTATACACTGTATATGAGGATGATCTGCATCCTTCCCTATTCAGGTCCTGAAAATATTCACTCTCTACAAATATTTCCGTACTCCTGTAATTCCAGCTGTAAAGGATTTCAGTATAGTTTTTCCATCTTCTCATAACCATGTTTGCCTCTGTCAGGTCTCTTTTGTGATTACTTGAGTATTCCTAATTAGTGGCAAATTTTCCCTAAATGTTTTTTAAAAAATCTCTCATTTTTCTTGTTACATTCCTTTATTTATATTGCCATTCTTTACTGAGAACACCAATTTGTTATCTGATTGCTAAATTCCCCTGTTATGACCTAGCTTCCTAATGGTGCATATGGCAGCAACCTAGACATTTTGATCTGGTAACAAGACAAAGTCATGGACTAGCATTCATGGTGTACAGGGTCAATAATACATGAAAGTCTGCACAAGATTTTTATCACTTAAAAGACACACAAAGATTTTAGTGCCTTCCTCCACAAGGCATCCTGTTTGCAGGTAGCATGGTCCAGATTCCAAACATCTGTCAAGAAGGTTTCTGTGCTCCTTCAAGAGAATATAGTGGAAGATTCCTAATAGCGCTTTCCCAAGTAATACAAGTCCTTCAGAGGTTAACAATTTTCCATAAGGTCCTCATCACCATGGAGACATGTCTTATCAAGTGGACAAAATGTGTTGTCAGGAGCTAATCACACCAGGAACCTGGCCAGATCTCAGGAGAGAAATGTGTCAAGATCATCTGCTGACTGAGAGTAGAGATGAGTCGAGCCATTCTTTTTCTAGCTAGGTCTCCACACTGGGGATCAGTATGTTCTATAGTTCATGCATCTGTGTTGGCGAAAACCTCTGTCTGGAAAGGAATGGGGATTAGAAGTGATCTATTGCACTCCATAAGATCATTACTAAACTGTGTGGGTGAGCCAGAAATATTTCTGGGAACCTTCTAGAAGACCAAAAAAAAAAATCCAATTGTTCTTTTAGCCAAGATGCCTCTTTTCCTTATTTCTGCAAATGACTAAAATGCTCCAGAAACCATGATATTATATCAGATGTGGTCTTTTTCCACATTGTTTCCTGTGGGGCCAATTTTATTATATATTTATTAATTGCATTTGGATGCTCAGGTTTATATATTAAAATTACCCAGGGTCTTTGACTGAGGTGGCATAGAAAAATTGAACATAAATAAATAATCTCTGAATTCAGAACTTTTCAGTAAACACATTTCACAGGCACATGTTGGTGTAAAGGAAAGCAGTAAGTAATTAATTCCTTAATTAAGTTTAAAGTGATTACTATCACTTTTTAGATAAAGGAATGGCATATTAGATGTTGATAAGTTCTAAGTATATTTAGATAGAATGCAACTCTTGAGACAAAGGGAGTACCACATGTGTGTAGTTTTTTGTTTTGCGCTGTATGAAGAGAAAGTTTCTAGCACTATGGTTACAGGAGTGCATCATGCAAATTTGGATGGTACATATGTGTCATCCAAATACACACTATGAGAGAAGTGGCATCCCTTTTGAAGTTATGTTCCAGTTGAAGACCTTTGTAGAGCAATCAAAATTCATAATCCATTTTAAAAACGAATGTGTGGATGCTCCTGCAGACTGGAGCATTACCAGAACTGAAATATTGTGTTTGTACTTCCTGACAAGCAGACTACCCAATGGCCATTGGGAGACAGCACATTACCAAGGCTTTTCTATTCCTTTACCTGTCTCAGAGACTGGCCTTCATACTTCAGAATGGAGCAGCTTACCTGTCCCACACCCTGCTGTGAATGGGTAGGACTGAGTAAAAAATTCAGATCATTCATGGCACAAATCCTGGGTCAAGAATGTGCCCATATTTTCTGGGCCAGGACCATACTCTGCCTTTGAGTGGTGTGCAGGACACCCCCCTCAAAAAAATGGATGAAGCCAGGACAAAAAAATAGTTTTGTCTTCATTTACACTTAGTATTGTTACCCTTCAGTCATGAATTTAATTAGTTTCACATTTCACCATATTCAGAATTACAGTTTAATAACAATCCTTGGAAATCTCTGAGAAGTGTACCCAAAGCTTTCAGAAGTCACGGGTTTGCACTTTGTCCTACAAGAATGTGGAGGACGCTGAGCTAGTTTCACAGTTCCAGTGCAGAAATCTGTGCTGCTGATTCCAAGGGGCAGTTTTCCTATTTTTAGGTACCTTGCACTTGGGCTTGATTTAGATTTGGTGATGGCAACTGCTAATGAAGCTAAGTAGGTATTTGTTTGTGCTTGTTTTTTCCAGCCCACTAGTGAGGAAGACTTGTGCCCTATCTGTTATGCACATCCAATCTCTGCTGTATTTAAGCCATGCTCCCACAAATCATGCAAGTGAGTAAACCCCGCAGACTTCTCTTTCCTTTATCTGATAGTAACCATACTGGAATGCACCACAGCTATGCACCAGAACTAATTTAGTGGTCATCTGAATCCCCTTTCACTGGTTGCCCTGACTGGAAGAGACCCAAGCCCCATAATCCTTCTAAGTGGCTGCTTATGCATCCAGGATCTGCTATTCCCATGTAGTTGTACAATAGAACTAGGCAGCTACTTCAGAGTCATGGAAATGGGATTTCTGACTGCGAGGAAGAAGATAGATTTGGAAGTACAGTGGAACCTCGGGTTACGAACGCCTCTGCTAACGAACTTTTCGAGTTACGACTCGGTTTGCAAACTCCGCCTCGGGGTACGAACTGGATCCGCGGCCATTTTCCCTCCGGTGACACGGTCCGCGGCCATTTTCCGCCCCTGACACGTGGTCCGCGGCCATTTTCCGCCCGACACCTGGTCTGCGGCCATTTTTCCGCCCCTGACGCGTGGTCCGCGGCCATTTTTCCGCCCCTGACGCGTGGTCCGCGGCCATTTTT